TGAAAGAGTCATCTGCAAAGCACATGGGTTAAGAGAATACATCATCATAAATTGCAAACAGTTCACTGTGCAATAATTTAACCAGAAAGAAATGCAGGCATGATGACAGAGGTTTTGCTTTCAAGGTTAACTCCTCCCCAACCCTGAAGACAATTCCTGATGAGGAGCAAGCAATCCTCCTCTTTGCAGCAGGGAAGTACTAGTCTACTTTGTGATCTGTTCAGTAGTTGCCAGCTCAGTTTCATCATTAAAAGCAACCTTCATCCAAATTCATGCAGATCACTGTTACTCTCTCCAAATTATCTCCAGGAAATGAAAGAAGATTGTCCAGCCACTGCCTGTTTAGGTAAGACAAATGACCATATGGAGGCACAGTTTCCATGACATTTCCATGACCACCTGTAAAGGTCCCACACAAATAGCAGCAGTAAGAACAGTTGAAGGACAAGAGACAATGGTCAAACAGGGGAAGAGAGGGGAAGATTCCGACTTCACATTGTGGAAAATTTTTCACCACAAGGAATATGGACACAGAAAAGTTGTCCTCTCATGTTTTCAAGACTTACTTGGACAATGTCAGGTGGCATTGTCCTGACCTGAATTCAGTACTGACCCTGTTTAGAGCAAGAGGTTAGATTGCAGATTCCTGAGGTGCCTTTCAACTTGCACAACGATGGTTGTAACTGCAGGATTTCAGTCTTCCTTTGAGACTTAAAAGGCCACTGATATTAGCCACCTTAGAAGAGGGATCATCATAGCTCTACAGCTTTTTCTTTAAAAAATTATTTATATTTATCTTTTGTGCATGTAACCCACAAATTGACACCATCAGGTAACTAGCAGACATGTCTTCCTTCCCCAGTATTTCATGGGAAGTACAGGGTGCAGCACAGCTACATAAGCACACATATAGACAAACAAAACCAGCTCCCCACAATCATCCACTTCAGTGATCTGCCTCAAAAGTGATCTGACGTACTTGTGGCATTACTGCAATTAATCTTGCAATTCAAAAAGGATTTGTAAGCAAGTTATGCACAGCAAGCAAAGATAATCTAATTTGAGATTCTAATAGCCTTACAGGATTCCTCAGTAATGTGTTTAGCAGAGGCAGAGTATGGATGAGAATTGCTCAGCCATTCTAGCGTACTCTAATCCATTCTAGTCAGGAACATGCTTGCTCAAACACAGACTGTGGGTGGACGTGCAGCAATGGCTCCCAGCATCAGCACTTTCTGCAAGATCTATTTAGCGATTCTCAATGAGGTTGGAGCACTCTGGACCACAACTCAAAATAACTTCTCTTAGCCAGTTCAAGAAGTTCTGTGCAATCGCTGTTTCCAAGACTAGTATCTAGACTCCATCCTGTCCAAGGACGAGGAAAAGAGATCTGTGGCAGAGCAGCAGATCTAACATATGTTAGTCTTAAACTGAGGTAGCATATAGGAGAATTTTAATCTATTCTCTTAGGTAATGCCATGATACATGAAGACTCACAGGGGGATCTGTGATTCAGGTCAAAGCATTATGTAATTTAACATTAGATTTTTTTTACTATAAATTCTTGTTGGTCAAAGCACATGAGGCTGAAATGACTTAGGTTCAGCTGTGAAAGCCAATACCCTGGGATAGATCTCCTTTACAGTAAGTGTCACTGATAGAACAGGGTGGTACACAGGAAAGTTATAACAGCTCCTAAGCAACTAAAACCATCTGAGCTGAAAGCACCCACAGAAACATTTAGTAACAGAAGACCTAAAGCAAGCAAAAAGGTGTCACATCAACCATTTGTTGAGCACTTATTCCTATCAAGCCTCCTACACTCTTTAGATTTTCATTCTGTTATGAACAAGGATGCTTTCAAAATGTAATGCTATTGCTTTTGTCCCTCAGCAATAATTTAGGTGGCAGTCAGCTGCAAGTATCTGATCTAACTGGGTGAAAGACACAGACAACTGCATGAACAATGTGGATGGGCTTGTACATGTTTGACTATGAGGAGCATTAAAGTTATTCCCACCACTTCATCCCAGAACATCACTCTGCTCAATCACACACCCACAGAACAGGTAAGCTCCTGAAATGTGAGGTGCACTTGATAAAGTGCCTTTGTTTTGCAGCTCCATACGGAGAGTTTTAACCAGAGGAAGAAGGAAATGGGAAGTACGAACTTACTCTGTTCATTCCCTAGAGGCTGCTCCAACATCGCCAGGATAACACTGTTATCCAAAACAAAGTAACGGAAGCTATGCTTGTTTATGGTAGGTAGACGAGAGTATTTAATTAATGTGGTTTCATTCACCAAGCTGCAAGGAGAAGCAGGGCCACTGGGAGAAGGAAATGCTCCAAGTAACTGCATAATACTGCAAGTGAGAAAAAAGTTAAGAGTTATGACAGGTTAAGATGACAAACTGTTCCACCCAAGCACAGATCTTTGCTCATATTCTGCATTTGTATCTTGACATAGCAGTTACCCTTCCAGGGCAAGCCTACCCTCCCCCATCAGCTTGTTTAAAACAGAACCAGTAACTTCAGAAAAACATAAATTAAAACCTACAAAGAAGGGTCCTCTGCCTACAGAATGAGTTCCTTTTTAACCTAGGTTATGAAGATATTAAGACATGCTTTAAAGTACAAAAATCTGTACCCTTCCACAGCTTTTTTTATGTTCGTTCTTATAAGAAGATTATGGATGACTGGAGATAATCATCCATACTTTAGCCCACTCTTGTATCAACAAGCAAGGCAGACATGGTAGATGCACTAGCTATGATTGTCTTTGTTTTCTTCAAGTACAGATTACATTAACTTAAAACCCTTTAAGAAAGAGCCATGATCATACAAGCATGGCTACCATAGATGGTAAACTTCCCTGGGAGAAAGCTTCCAGGTGTAGTCCAACAGTGCCTACTGCCTTGGAAGGCTCCTAGAAGTACCGATTTAAATCATCTGAAGTTGTATAGGAACTACCTAATATATCAGAAATTGAAAATTTCTATGGCAGGAACCAATAATGAAAGTTGTCCAGTGTCAGACTGGAGATCGTATGATCTAACTCAGGACTTCAGTCTTAACACCACCACCCAGACCAAAAGCACATTTACTGAAGTCCTGTCCTCCCCACACACTTTTCCACTTTACTCCAAGAATAGAGAGTTTCATCTCTCCAAAAGAAAAGAGGCACTTTTAGGCAACAATAAAGGTTCGTCCTCAAGTTCCAATGAGTAGTTGTTTTTATCTTGGAAATTACACAGTTGTTTTTGCTAACAGTAACGATTTATTGCAAAGCAGAGCAAAAATAAAAGCAGCTATCTGCCTGTTGCAAAACACATTTATCCTACCCATCCTCCATCTGTCCTGGCTACCATTATGATGTTCATCCAGTAGAACAGTGCTTTTCAACTTCTCTGGAGCAAAGCTCAGTTTTCCTCTCTGGGCATCCCTGCCCCAATCCACATGTTATCTGTTACTGCAGTTCCAGCCGAACCTCTAAAATATATTAAGCAAGCCCAGCGCTGTGGGCAGAATGACATCCCATCCTGCAGCAGCTTACATCCGCTGCATGTGCCACTCCCTGCTGCGTTACACATGAGACTGTGTCTATCAGTTTCCCAACCAGTGTGAGGATGGCGTATCTGGTCAGGCTGAGGAGAAGGAGAAGGGGGAATGGAAAGACAGGATCACTAGGTCAAGTGGGAGATGGAGGCAACTGCTGTCTGCAGAGAGGACTGGCTGAGAACAGAACACCAGGGACTGCAGGAGGAATTGGGTTTTGCTCTCCAAGGAAGAGAACAGGCAGGAAGGGAAGGGAGCAATCACAGGGATCTTTTTTCTGTTGAACACCTGTAATGGGATGGCAAGGCAGAGCACAGGACAACCCTGCCCAAAGGGCAAAAACAGAGGGAGCTTCTGGCTGACTTTCCAAATGTTCTTGCTACATCACAGAGATCTCACCAGCTGGGAACACTCCTAATTAAAACACTCTCAGACAAGGCAATATTAAACAGTAAACATGCTCTGACAAATTACATACCACGTTAGTGTAGCTTCAGCAGCATCCTTCACTCTCATGGATGCGGGGTTTGGCTCCTTATCTCCTTTGTACTTGACCTCTTGTTCACTGTTTTTGGATTTACTTCCTGAAATGCCCAGCTCCACAATCTCCAGTACCTCTTTTAAACAATCCTAAAACACAAGAGGAACCACCTTAAAGCAGCAGCACTCCGATAAATGTCTCCAAGACCTCAGTGAAACAGTGATATACCATCGCTTAAAATAAAATACTGCTGGCAATATGAGCTCAGAAATAAAGGCAGAAGATTATTCCAATGGACAGTGTTGGAATAAGATCACATTTACTATAGGAATGATTTTTTTCTCTATCTACAGATACCTATTTACGTTTGTATTTTAATGGCAGAAAGTGCTCTGAATGAATACATACACACAATATATTCCATTACGTACGTACAAAATTGCACAAAGAGTGCAATTGAAAACTGTAAACATATTTAAAGAAATAATAAATGCATTTCTGAGACTCTCTACGGATCTTTTAATTAAGTTCTAAGCACATTAAAAAGAAACTCATCTGAAAAACTGCACAAAACTCTTTTCTGAATTTTTCAATTGCCAACAGCTTTCCTAAGTAAAATATATTGTGGTATCTAATTCATCAAGAGAACAATAACAATATTCTAAAAGTACACAGCAAAGCTTCAACAAATCTATTACAGGAGAGGCCAACACTCCATAGAACCGCAGGTATGACTCTCAAGTGTTGCTCATTACAAAATCACTTGCTGAAAATATTTGGATTGCTGCAATAAAGGTTCAAATCTCATGTCTTGAGCTATAGAATAACAAGGAAAGTATTCCCCTGAATAAATAGCAGGCTAAAATCTGATCACGAGTAAGTGGTCAGCTTTTATCACCAGGGACCAAGCAGGGTTCTACGCCTTGGCTTGTGTCTTCCTTATATTCATAACTGATGTAGAAAAAGAGGCGAAGAGGAAGATTAAAGTTTTCTAACAGAGCAAAATTAACCAGCGTTGAGATGCAAAGACTGGCCACGAAGAACTACAGAAGTTTACAGCACTGGCTAGTAAAATAGCAGGTGAAATTGAAACCAAAGACGAGGCACCTGGAAAATTGCAATTCTAATACTTGAAAATGCAATGAAAGGTTCTCATCTGACTATGACGACTCAGGAATGAGATACTAAGTGTCCAGTATACACTACACACAGTATGTCACACTATCTCAATATGCAGCAATAAGTAAAATAAAAAAAGAACCTAATGAAAGGGAATAAAGCATTATGAGACTGAATAAACCCATGCTGCGGCACATCCAGGGGAAACTATCCTGTCCTAGTCACCTAATGCCATGCCAGTATCCTGAAGTGCATGCAGAAAGCATCTTTATTTAAAGTCCTGCTTGTGAGTTTTCAATTTTCATTTTTTAAAAATATACTTGTTTTATATATGCTACAGAATATATAAACAAAATAGATAAAAATATGTTAGATATGAAACTATATATCTAAAATGTTCTATAATACATATTAATATACATTATATATAAAATATAGAAAGATCACTGAGCTGTCTCTGCATGGAGAACAACAATGAAAATATGCGCTCACTGTTTTGTTTGTTTGTTTGTTTTTGTGTGTGGTGTTTTTTTTTGTTTGTTTGTTTGTTTTTTTAAACAGCAGGACAGAAAGCTGTTGGATACATGCATTTTTCATTTCCTACTCTTTTGAAGCTTCCCAAGCAAATTCCATCTTGGATTGAGCTATGCCTTGCTCAGTTTCTGGAAGTGTAGTTTCTTGGTGAAACAAACTGATTATCAAAATAGTAGCATCAAAGGAATTCCGTGAAGTCTAGAACATGCTATAGTCAGGTAAGAGCTGAGAAATGAGAAGAGACATGGCTTTTAGTGAAGTTTATCTGCAGCAGGTAGCTGTGCTATATATACACACCATTAATTCCCATATTTCTCTTTTCAGTTTCTGTTTTTTCAGGTTCCCTGTTCTCTCTTTTTCCAGTTTCACAAAACAAGAAGAAAGATCAAGACATTCTTAGAAATATGAAAGGTAATTTTAAAGCCAAAAAAATTCTTGGTGAATAAAGAGCAGAAATAAAAATTCAAAACTCTTTTGCATGGAAACTAGTTTTGAAATTCCTAGTATACTTTTGAAAACTAGGAAAACCGCATTACTTTAAAGTATCAAGAACAGACAGGTCAGGCACTGAAAGGCGTTACAATTTGGAGTGCTCAAAATGTATACACCAGAGACTCACCTTCTCATCCAGCATGTCAGGGTGCTCGGTGAGCCAGACGCAGAGGCACTGGAAAGCTGCGACTATCATGGAGTGAAGGTCGCGGGAGTGGAGCGGGGCTGGGCGGCTGCACTGGTACACTATGTAGCTGCACACTGAACTAATAGCTCTCTTCCTGTCAGAGGAATCGACCACTACTCTCACCTGTGTAAAGCAAGCAGGAGAGGATGAGAATTCTTCCACAAAAATCTCCCAGGGAAGCATTTCAAAAGCATTTTTAAATGCAGTTTTTTAAGAAATAGGAATACACGGTGGAGTTCTTTTATGATTACAGTTTAAAAGTTGTGGGTAAAAATATTTACCAGTGATGGGTATTGAAACTTAAAGGAAAGAAATGCTGCACTGAGGTACCACCACATTGCAGCGCTTCGTTTCCAAGAGCAAGAGAGGTATCAATATGGTTTGATAAGAAACTAATTGCAAGCTGAATAAATTAGTATTTGAAACTTATTTTCAAATACCTCTTTCCTTCAGCTATAGCAATCCATTCTGTATCTCAGAACCCACCCGCTGCCAAGTCCCCCTTCCACGAAGCTTCATTCTGCTCACATAACTTTCCACGAGGCATATTCTGTTAGCACAGTACTTTCACCAGTGAAAAAGGGACAGAAAACCCACCCTCAGACAAGCAGACTGGCAAAAAAACCCATAAGCGCTCCCCCAAAACTTGGCACAGGAACAGTCAAAGCTGGATTTTTCTAGTCTCTAGCATTTCATCATGTCATAAAAAGCTTTACTCATTAAGGTGCACCCTTATCCAAGCAGGAAGGTGGATAGCCTTGTTGGTGATGACACCGGAGCCAGGCAGCTGTACTCCACAAAGCAAGGGGTGACAATTCAGAGTCCTAGGATGAAGGCAGCGTTTCCTTCAAAAGTGTAGAGATCTATGGCAAATAGATGAGCTCATGAAAAGCAGGTTGGTGAACCAGCACTCTTGTAGGACATGGGATTTTTGAATTTACCAAGTCCCACTAATAACCTGGTGCTGAGCAGACACACGACAGGGCAGCCCCTAACCTAAGAAAGACTTTGGGAACTGTCACCTCCAAAGGTACAAGCAGAACTGGTTCTCCACTCTGCAGTTCTGCAGTAAGAGTTGATCTCTTTCTACCCTCTTTGTGATGAAGGGGATAGATATCCAAGATACCCCAGAAGAAGAATTACTTCAGTTGCATGAGAATTACACAGAGATTATAATATGTAATATTAACCTGGTTAAGCTTTTAAAAAGATAATCTATTTTCACATTCCCATCTCATTGCAAGCCAAGAAAAACCCCCAAAAAACAAAAACTTGGCTTAGCTACAGTAGCTGCAGGAACCCCTGGTTTTGTACAACGCTCTGTAAGATGCAATAACCATACATTAATTCATTGCAGAACACTTTCAAAAGCATCCTTCATCTCATGCTGCTCCATTAAGAACAGTAAGCACCCAGTCCAACATGGCTGGCTCCACGCTCTGAAAAATGCCTGAGACACGCATATCTGAAAGAGATCTGTCACGTTCCCAGGGGAATATGACAGGAAATCCTGAATTGTCATGCCAGGTCATCAAGGCTGCTGTAAATACACTAGACTTCTGCTTAACAACCATCATGAAGTCCAGCCTGGGGGCAAGGGCCCTCAAGCAGAAATAGGGCATTTTACTTGCCAACAAAAAAAGCAACACACAATCCCCAGAAGCTTTAGTTCAATCAAGGAATTGTGTGCAGATAAAGCTCTGAAGAAGGCGACAAATTCATATTTGTTACGCTATCATTTTCTAAGCTCAGAAAACCATTTCCAAGAGGACATAGAAGGGGAAAAGCGGGTACACCACTTATAAAAAGGGCAATTAAGTTGTTTAATACTCTGGCATTTTGCAATCAACGTTTCTGATTTTGTCACATGGTGAACAGACAGACCGGCCACCCAACCAAGCAAAGCTATGGTAAATGGTTCACAGTGGGATTGAAAACTAATGGCCCAAGCCCCTACAATGCCACTGGAAGCTTAGCGGCAAGTTTTTGCTCAGCTGTGCAACCTGATACAGCAGATGCGTCCCCTATAGTGTAAAAAACAAAACAACACAAAACCCAAAACCAGACACACATGGGAATCAATGAGAAAGGTTAGGAGCCATCCAGCTAGCTCAACAAAACCAGCCAGAACTGTACAGTAAAGCCACATGTATCTGAACAACCACCTTGAGCTTCACTTTCGGCCAACAGGCATTTACAGGGCACACTTCATTCGAGTCACGGAGCACTTACATTAGGAGAAGATGAAGTACAAAACGAGTACCGTTTTTTTCTTGTGTCCAAACAGAACATTTGCTGACAAACTCAGACACAGACATCTGTTTGGTGGCATGGCTTTCACCTAAACAGGACTATAATCCCCCTTTGAGAAGAGGCCAGGGCACACAAAACTTCACCTCTCACCTTTGCCAGTCCAGACAGAAGCTCCAGCGCAGCCAGAGAGATACTCATGTCCTGCCTCCACTGCGAGTTGAGTCTTTGGGTTACCAGGTGAATACTGCGTATCAGTAGTCCAGCAGCTGTATCTGTATTAAGAGCTAGGATATAACCCCAATACCACATACCACAGGGAGGGAAAATAACTAAGCATTAGTGACAGTAAGCAAAGCACAGGCACAAGCCAAAGCAGCCACAATACACACACAAAATAAAATTATACACAACCCATAATCTAGAAATTGGGTTGGTCACTTTTGCACAGGTTAACTCCCTTATGAACACCACCAGACTTTATACAAATATATTCACCCTAGCTTATATCTCAGGTTTTTTTATTTTTTAAAAAAGACATTTTGGATAACCCAAATAAAGCAGACACCTTGTTTTCAGTTTTCCCTTGTTTGAAACATCCAGCTTCAAAATTTTTTTAATAAATTTCATACACCCTTACCTTCTGTGCATAGGAAATAAAAAAATCCAATAAAATGAATATATTACAGAAATATCTTTAAAGTTATGTCTCAGCTTTAAGACTCAGTAAGTCAAATATTTAAAAGCTTTTTTTTTTTTTAACCTTACAGAGGGATATTTTTACAAGGACTTGTCAATGAAAATCCATCTGAATTAAACGTACAATTCAAACAGTATACTGAAAACTAGCACTTCACTAATTTCAAATAAACAAATACTGTAGGGAAAGCACCAACATGTTTATATGAATACCTAGAATACACTAACGTCTTTCCTGCTAATCTCCCTCCTCTCCTTAGTTATAGAAGTAGGGGAAAAAAACATTTTTGATTGGCAAGAACAGAGTTGTCAACCTAGGCTACAATATAATAAAGGTGATTTGTTCTCACATTTATTTGGTCAACATCAGTTAAACTGAAGACCACCGAAAGAGCAAGTTAAATTCCAGGATCTTGACACTGGGACAGCTTACCACACACAGAATTAGTAAAACATGGATTCTGTTACAAAGATTCAAATATGCATGGTACAAGACACAGCAAACTGATGTTAATTAAGAAATTCTCATGTTACAACAAATGACGTCACAAGCATTCTGCTTAGTTGCTCTATAAAAACAGGAGTCCCCCAAATGGTCCTCAAATATAGTTTAAGAAACAATGCTGCAAAAGTCAGGTAAGCATTTGGAATGCTACCAAAATAACTGAAGCAATTAATTCACACTTGGTGTACTTTTATCCTATTATTGTTCATGAAAATGAAGTGTCTTGAAAACATATGCTGAAGTAAAACAGTTTGCAAATACCTCCTTTTTCTTAAGCTTTTACATTCTTATTTTTAAAATGTTCACAGAGTCCCTTAGTAGGATTAAAAACCAACCAACTAAAGGGTACATATGAGCACAAACTGGCAATAAACAAAGAGGTTCAAAACACCCATGCACATTAATGTATTAGCCAGAACTAGGAACAGGAAAAAAAATCACAGAGAACGTCACTGGCATATAAGGACAGAGTGTTCTTAAGACAGCTATCCTTACCATAATCCCTCAGAAGGGCTTGTGCTGGTCTCTCGCTGTCTGGTGTTGTGGGTTCCGTACTGCCTCCACTTGCAGTACTAATGCCACTGTTAGTACGGCTGTGGCTTTTGAAGAGGTTATTTTCACCACCATTCTGCAAATTGAAAGTCAGTTTTGAGCAATGAGAAGATTTTTCTGAGTAGCCTCCCTATACCAGAGGATGCTCTCAGATACAATGGAGAAAAAAAGATGATCAAGCCTCAGGATGCTAACTGAGCACCTTACAACAGCAGGTAAAATAAGTCATGCATTCTTTCTGAAGCGGTAACTTGATAAACAAAAAATACTTACCGTTTCCATCTGACAGCCAATGGCTTCTAATAGAGCTGAATCTTGAACGATGTTTAACATTGCACCTGAAGAATCAGATATAAGAAGGTAACTAAAGACTGCAGTAGAATATTCACTGCCAAGATTTACAAAGAAACACTGAAGGTCTAACATACAGTATCACCATCCTGTTTTATACAAACTCTTATAAAGAGTTTTATAAAACACAGGATTTGCTTCAGGCTTAGTCATTTGAAGCAGATGAGAGCTGATATAGAGAGTGCTTTCAGCTATTTTAAAAACATATTTAAAAACCTAGCTCTGAGCACAGGTTTTGCAAATTCCTCAGCTCAGAAGGATTTTGGTTTCACAGAGTGCTGGAATCACTCCTTGTCTCCCATCAGATCGTGCTCATTTAAAAACTCAGGTTGCATTCAAGGTTATCTATTGATTCTGTGATTAAAATAACAATATTTGTTAAATAACTGAGAGACCTAAAATCAGCTGCGTAGTCCAAAGCCATGTCAAGGGTTTGACAGGGCTGGCCTTGGCTGCATTCTTGCCTGGCACAAAGAGGCTCCCTTCCCCAGTTTGGCCATTGGGAGCCAAAAGGCAGCTGGTGACTGGCAAGCAAAAACATGTTTTCAAGTCTTAGTGAACTAGCAGTACAGACGGCAACCTGCTGGAAGATAAAATGAATAACGTCTGGTCTGTTCAGCAACCCTTAAGACATCAGTGCAAGTGACCATGCTGTTCTCATACTGATCAGTGACCAGTGAAATGAACCTCCAACCACCATAACACAAGGAGGTTTATTTTCACAAAGACATTTCTGCCCCTGTCCCCCACAAAAAAAAAAAAAAAAAAAAAAAAATCAAGGCGAATATTTGCATCATTGATAAACTGTGGGTATGTAGAGCAAATTAAAAATTGCTTTCATTTAAATTTGGCTAAAATATAAACCAAGTTTCCTAAATCGGGAAGCTAGCGCATAATCTGAAGTGCACTGAAATTCTCTCTGCCTGGAAGTCATCCCCAGCCTCTCACTTTCTGTGCTTTGTTTTCCATCAGTGCCCAAAACACTGTATTGAAAAAGCTGAAGCTCTAGGTGCAGGGCTAGCCAACCCTACCATGTCCAAACTAGCCAGCAGGTGGTTATCCCTTCCATCTGGGGAGAGATAACTACACAGAAGTGTAACACACTGTTAAATTAAAATTGCTGATGCATTCAGGGTGCCTTAGGTCAACTAGTGTGAGCAGCCGGTATCTGCTTGGCAGCATCACCCCCAGGTGACAAGGAAAGAAGCATTGAGGACACGGGACTGTACCAGGCTGACACTGACGCACTCAGTGGCATCAATTTTAATTTTGTCGTCGTCCCGTCCGTCCTCCCCGCCACCCCCAGCAACGAACGTTTAGGAAAACACCGCTTGCTAATATGAAGGGAAATGCACCACTCACTGTCAAAAATTTAGTGAGCAGCTGGAAACCAAACACTGGTTTTGTTGAGAAGCTGGTGGCACATGTGACAATCTCTGGATAAACTGGAGATTCATGAATCCTCTCCAACCAAAGCCAGCAGGAAATAACTTCACAAGTGGAAAGAGTTTAACAGCAGCAATACAGGGGAGAGGGAGTGGTATGGACTATCATGGAAATAGTAATGGTAAAAACCATTCAAGGCAGAGCATCTACCCAGCCAGATGCAAACACCAACTCGCAGCAGAGGCGTACAAAAACACAGGGGCAGGATTTAACAGAGCATCACCCTGCATTTCCCAAGGTGGTGCAACCCCCTGTGCACCGATGCTCTGTAGGTCTCACTTGGAAAATCATAAATATCCTCATCCCTTCACCAGCAGTGGTTGCAAATCATTCTTTCAAATCATTCTCCCCTAGTCTTCCCCTAGTAAAGGAACTATCTCAACTGCTGCAAGGAAACTTTCCAAAAGTCTTCACAGACTGGATTTGTTTCCCTTCACTTCATTGCTCACTCCGTTTTCTTGCCCTCCCTTATTAATCAGGTAGGCTCTCTGTCTCCCAGAACAAGGCAGACACCTCCTGTTGCAGTGCAAGTTTGCTTCCTTTTTGAACAGACAAAAGGAAAATGGTATTGTAATTATTGAAGGACAAGAACACCACAATGTGGAAAAAGGCACTTCTAAATAAAGAGAGAAAAATAAGGCGTGGGGGGGAAGAGAATAAAAGGCAAGCACACTTTTTACTGGTCTGAAAATATATTTAACTTGTGCTAAACAAATGTCATTTGTATTCTGCCAGTGCTGGACCACTGGTCACCCAGTATTTCAATTTGTTTCTAGGCTTAATCATGCCAAAAACTTAAAATGTTCCTGGTAACCCATTAGTCAAGAATCCTTCCCAATATTAAAACATTTTTTCCTACTCTCATTCCTAGTTATGACTGACTTTCCCTGCTAGAATGTGCTTTCATTCCACCTCTATTTTTCAAGTACTATTCCACATTTGTAAAAAGAGAGAGATTACTTCAACAAAACTGTGAGGCTTTTCAAGATGTTTCCATTGTATGAGGGAGATCATACAGATGACAACCTGCCAGGAATTTCATCTTTTTTCTTGCAAAGCAACACATAATTAATAAACCATATTCTTCCAGGACAGATTAAGACAGACGCTTCTATAACACAGTTAATAAATAAAGCTGAAATAACCTAGTATCATTTGAGTGTTGTTGGGATCTGTTTCTGTTTGCAAAGCTCCTATAAGTATATTCACAAGCCTTAGCTTCAAGGAAAGGAAGGTTACTGGCTTATCATACGTTGAGCTGTCATCATTGCTGAATTTCCCTTCCAGGACAACCTGAAGGAAAAACACATTTATTTCAGTATCAATTAGAGATCACACCAGCATGGTATTGGTTTCAAAAGTTGATACCCACAGCATACATCGCTACTGACAACTTTCAATACAGTCTTACTGTTACACACTTGCTGAACAGAGCACCAAATAAAACCCACAAGTCATCCAAATCCCACTCCAAAACAACCAGGAAAACAAAAATGGAAACGCAAAACAAGTGGTAAGTTTACTACCTCAGACTTTATGGTTCCGAAGTGATGAGGGAGAGGCAACAGAGACAGCAAGATATTAATTGAAGCTCTTCTTAGCTCTGTGGGGTTTACATAGATTTTGAACTTTGAGAGCTCTCTGCAAATCAAAGCATCATACAGTTAATCAACTTTTCAAAGGGATTTGGAGTCAAATTTAATTAAGTTAAAATCAAATATACAGCCACCCAGTGGTCTTAAACAATTTGCAGTATACAATGTAGCTGTTTCTTTCTAGGCTCAGGATTCTTTTTTTTTTTTCTTTTTTAAACAGCAGCAATAACACAAGGAATTCATGGAGGAACCATCACTTGCTAAGGATTCTGTACCCGATACAAAAGCAATGAGCTGGTGAAAGTGTTATTTATATACTGCATCTTCAAAGCAGTATATGAATGAGCCTCTACTGGCTTATTACAACCCAAACCCACCCGGGGTTATCAGAGCTCTGCAGAACATGTTCACGCGCACACTGCGTGAAACACCAGCTGCTTAGCAAATAGATCAACTTCTGCCAGTAGCCACCAGCAAATTCTTCTAGTTATAAGACCTATCCAAAAGAAGCGGTGGCTCAGATTTAAGGCCAGAAGATAGATAGTTATACATAATATTTTATGTGTAACTTCAAAATTAAATGCAGTACCAAGTACCATAAAATGTATGTTGAAGAAGGCATGCACAGAGTTAGCAAAACGTCCAAAAATCTTCAAAACTCTAACAAGTGGGGTTATATCTTCTGGTTTAAGAACCTACTCCAATTTCACCAGCCTGTCTAAATAATCAATTTTTCTCTTTAATGATGTGTAAGATTACTCTCTTAATGAATTCACTGCAACAACAGCCACTAATGAACATCCTGTGAATTTTTACTTAAAAATCAGTAGGCTTTCAATATATTTGAGCTAAATCACTCCTTTTCCCTATTCTGACAGATACTGCTTTCCATCAGTGAATATGTAGATAACACAACTCACATGTTTTACTTAAAGTAAGCACTACTATTGCTTTAAAGAAAATTGCATTAAAATAAATTGAAAATTAGAGTTTATGAAGTGCTGTTATTATCACTATCAACTACATATACAGTATGGGCCCCACATTACAGAATTCCTTCAGTGAAAACTACTCAGGAATGACAGAAACCCCAGAAGATAAACACTTCCCCACATTTCTGATTGTTTTTATATGGAAATAGCAATTTACCTGTCAGGTAAAATAGTTTCAAGAGCCGAAATGAAATAAGGAACCACGACATCAATCCCCTTCAGGTCACAGCAGAACAGAGGAGGGGAGTTTAAAATAACACTGGCAAGAACGGGGTGGCAAACGAAATCTGCTATCTGCAAACCCTGAATTAAAAGCATGTAAAATCTGACAAAGAAAGATAAGATTACATTATTTGCACATAAGAAGCATCAGCATCCCACATGAACAAGAATGTACAGCTACTATTTGATCTTTTCTATATAAAATAGAGTAAGTTTCAAAATCAGAGCTGAGGAACATTTACATGAGCATTCTCCCCCAAGCTATTTTAGCACAGGCGCATGCACCTAACCAGCTGCACAAAGAACCCCTCAGAAATCACACATATTTCATGGGAAAAGCCAGTGCAGCATAGTTTTACTGAAACCTCTGACTTGTTGCAACACATGGACTGGGAGCTGTGCAGATACTGCCCAGATGTTTTCTAACAGTGCTTGGATCACGTGCTCTCCCACTACTCCCTTCCCCATGTAAGGATGGGAGAGAGACTTTGATTTTAACTCTCCCAACACAAGAAAAATACTGCAAAATCTTTCGGGGAGGGGGGCGGTGGGGGTGTGTGTGTGGAAACAGTGATCAGCTATTTGGAAAAATGAGACCAAACTACCCATCATAACCAGTTCAGATGAAGAAGCAAGGGGGCAGGAACCTAGCTGGCCATCACCCAAAAGCAGTTAGTTTCTTTTGCAGTTGCTTGCTAGAGAATACTTATATCTGGCCCCCCTCCTTTTTTTTTTTTTAAAGGCTTGCAAACACAGGAATCTCACTGATCGGCTAAGAGAAACACGAACTATCTATACACAAAACACTACAACACACAAGAAACAAAATAGTTCAGTCTTCCAGGAAGTTTTGATGCCATCTGGGACAAATGTACCTGAACAGTTCGAGAGAGTCATGATTTGAAATGGATTCTCTGCCTCTAGCTTTTGCTATTTCACTTTTGAACAAAAATTTGGAGAAAAGGTACACTATAATAGGCAAGACTGCCTTATTTTATTAGAAACAAGACTGTACACAGAGGTAGTTCAGAACACAAATGTTTTAAATAAGTGCATTTATATATTTAAGGGGGAAGGGAGGGGGGAACAACAACCCACAAACAGATTCCATCCCAGTGTTGTGGTGTTTGACAAGATAAGACCTTTCATGGTCTAATAAAGTGTACAAAGTCTCATGTCTGTACACTTACTGTTTCCATCTGAACAGCGTTCAGCGACAAATTAAAAAAAACAAGAATACAGGAAGCAAGAAAGTATCAAAAAGACAACGTTCCTTTCAGCTGGGAGGCACTTTAAAAGGGACTTCCCTTCTACTGGAACTTGAAGAAAACCCAATGAAAACCAGCATCGTGAGAAGATGAAAGGAAATCACTACTCAGTTTAGCCAAGGATCCCCACCTACAGCATCTGAAGTTTTTTTGAATTGGAAACACAGGATTCAGACAGTAACTGAATGCTATTCACTGTGCATTTACCATAAAGTTATACCAATAAAGCAACTGGAAGATAGGTTAGTACCGGGATAGGTAAGCTGGTAATATTTCCTCCCCAGTCTTCTTGCTACAAAATATCCTACACAGTGTCCCGCACGCCTCTGCCCTTCCTGCTTCATAGTTGTCTGGGAATTCACTCGCATCAAACATGGGGTTGGAAGCCATTGTGTCTGTGGACATTTGTGACCCTTTCCGGCGAAACTCCACGCTAGCTTGAGTTGCTATAGCTGAGAAGAGAAAAAACAGCGTTTCACTTCTTTTGTTAACATATATAATAGGCTCATGGGATCCTGGACACAAAGATCAAGTCAAATTTAGTAGTTATGAAGCTGTTAGTTCACTATATTTGAGTCAGTGCCTCTGTTTAGAGAGTATATGTGGGTGTGAATAACTTTTTTTCTTTATAAGGATGACAACAACTGACCTTCATATTATAGAGCTTGTCCCAACTTTCTGCTGGGAAGAGTATGCTTATGTGCAATATTGGTTTCCTACCCTCTCTGTAGGACAAGGATCTTCCCTCACCTAGTTCTCATCTCCAGAAAAAATGAAGTACCACCTTGCCTTGGTGCCTTAAAATACCAAAAACATTTAGACAGTGCCATTACTGTGACCTCCAAGCGAGTGCTTAATTTTCAACTGGCCAACTAATCTCTTACGCTGCTCTAAACACCAAGCTGCTTTGATCCAGTTTTGTTATATAAAAATTCTTATTTAAAAAAAATTCTAAGGACCCATATCAGAAAGAGAAATTTGCTGAAACCCACTCTAGTGATTTGATGTCTCTCTCCTCACATGACTACTGAAATTGCCAAATCAATTTGAGGTTAGACAGCCTCCAGACAGCAGCTACCAGGGAGGCTGGCCCCCTCTTACCCCATATCCCACAATAGGCTCCACAAAGTCTCTCAGGAGCCCGCTGTTACCTGAACGGGATGTGGTTCTGCTGAGCTTTGTGCTCCCTCCCTGCAGGACAGTCCTGCCACTCCAAGCCTGTTGAATTCATGTCTTTCTAGTGGGACTGCTGGTCGCCCTTCCACACACCAGTATCGTGCATACAGTACAGGAGGCTACTCGCTTTGCTGGCTTCACCCTTTCTTCCAGGACGGCAACCAGAAAAGATACACTGCTCTCAATAGGATTTTTTTTTTTCCCCTTTTTTTGCCCTTGGACAACTTGCATTACTAACGGCAGAAAAAGCACGTTCCTTCTTATTTTTAGCTAATACTATATTAATTTTAAAAACTTTTATAAGCTACAAAAACAGAAAACAGATAATGTGTGCTCCTAACAGAATCACGCCAATGTAATTCCACCAGGACCAGAGAACTTCCTCTGTCTCAAGCCTGGGACACTGGGGAACATCAGGTTCACAATCAGTCTTGCAAACAAAGGCCTGTTAACGCTTTGACAGTTGAACTTGTTAATTTACAGATAGGTTTTTTTGTTTGTTTTATTTTTTTAAAGGAAATGTCCTAAGTGTCTAGTGTCTACTCTTAAGTTTTTGTCTTTAAATTTGTGGTTTAACCTACTGTTACCTTACAAATTTTCATTACAAAAGTAGCAAATAAGCACAAATCTTTATGCATCTTCCCATGAGCCATTTTTTTGTCCTAAATAAGCTATCCAGCAATATATTGTAGTTGGAAAAAAACACTACATGCACAATGCATACAAATCAAACACTAGGTCTGTAAAAATAAGCTTTAAGTAAAAAAAACATGGTTAGTGCAAAGTCCTGAAACTCATGACATGATCACAGACTAAAGTACAGAAAAGATGGGACTGATTCAGGCAGATTAATTTGCTTTTGCCAACAATCCTCCCCATTCAAAAACACACACAAAAAAGTTACTTGTCTTTTTCAAGTAAAAGTGCAAAAGCTACAGAAGACAATGAGAATGAATTTACAAATAAAATATGGGGTTATGGAAAAAGAGAAAAGCATGACCGCAATTAAGGAAAAGCTACTGGTTCCTACTTACAAGATTTATAAGAAAGAAGAATTTGGATAAAAGATGCTGCAAGATAATAGAAATAAAATGGAAACAAATCAAAGGACAGCAGTAGTTATAAAATACTTTTAAGATGGTGAAATTGTAATATAAGTTAAGAAGCTTTTAGCTCTTTTAAAAAATAGATTAAAAGCTTTATGATATAGCAAGCTTGTTAAACACATAGGAAATTGGCATTCAGGTCCAAAATTATGGTTTTGAAAGTACCATGCAAAACAATGAACAAAAAGTTACAAAATACTACTAAGGTTTAGAGCTGTTCATATGGATGTACATCAGTTCTTTAAAGGGATGTATTAACCCTTCCCAGCTCAAGTACATTTCCCTAGGTCGCACTGTATGGGGAGTATACACTAGGCTGTCCTAAGGCTTCTGTGCCTTGGGGTATGTCTTGCAGGGCGAAGGTTGCTTACCTGCAGAGTCTCCTCACAGCAATACGCCCGCTTCCAAACCAGGAGTTCTTGACTGTATGACAGCTCTGTCTTCCATAACCCAAGTTGCAAACAACCCTTAACAGCAGCCAGTATACCTGGGCATGCCTGCCCCGACCACCAGCTCAGTCAACAATCTTCCAAAGCAGAAACAAAAGGCAGAACACTACCAGAAATGTCAACATCTCAAAAACAATCTCCAGAGAATGAAAAGGAAAGTCTCCCACAGCTAGGTACCAGGAGAGAACGCCACCACCTCGTAAGAGCTGCTTCTTTGAATGTTCAGGGTGAGAATCAAGATCTGTGACCAAGCCTCTCAGCAACATCCAAGATGTCCCTAATAAGGGCTTCTTATAGTTTGTTCCTAGATCCCCAGAAACATGCTTTGGGACATTAATGACAGTAGGGCCAGAAGAGATGAGAGTAAAACTCTACCCCAAGACTCTCCCACTGCCAACAGCATCTGGGCGACGCCAGCAACCCTCCTAGGCTAAGACTCCTTCAGCTGCTATAAAACACACAGCTGGCAGGCTGACTTATGACTGACTTCTTTAGGTACAAGGATTAAGAATAAGCCCATCAGACTGGAAGATTCAGTTGCTGAAATGCTGGCACAAGGTATACACGAGTTTCTCCCAACTCTCAAGTTGCTGCAGACAGCAACTACAGCAGCATGCACTGTACAGCCAAGCTTGTCTAACAAACACTTCCTGCCAATGAAATTACACTCGGCACACGTACACACACCCCAGAGCTGTCATATTCAGGATTAACTTCATAAATTCTTCATAGCAAATTTCTTATGAAGGAGTTTTTTCAAGTACCGATCATAGGGAGCTATTTGTGCCACACTAACAGCTAAATAAATACCATGCAGCCATCTAATTCTAAAGACTACACCAGCAGGATCCAGTTCCTTTCAAACCAACTATGCATTTTCAGTCAGATCATTTTCCTCTCTCGCCACAATACAGAATAATGTTCATTAGCTGCCTGCTCTAAAGCCATAAAGTTTCACCATCAAGGTCTCAGCGCAGAAACCAAAACCTGATACAGGACATTCGAGGCACAAAAGCATTACACCGATGATGGCGAGACCACTGTTTTGCTTCAGAATCCAAACAATGACACAAGACTATCTTGAAGGATGGGGCTCAAAGAGCAAACAGGAAGACTGCTTTCCAGGTGATAAACGTCACCAGTACTCAGCCATGTACAGATGACCTCCAGCTAACCTTGTGGGAGAGAACAATTCTCTCCTCCCAAAGAGATACACAAAACCACAGCACCCAGAAACATGAAACACATAAAATTATCCTTGTACCAATCCATACAAGGATTGGTATAAGAAGGCCAAGTGCAGGGTCCTGCACCTGGGTCGGGGCCACCCCCAGTATCAGAACAGGCTGTGGGATAAAGGGATGGAGAGCAGCCCTGCCGAGAAGGACTTGGGGGTCCTGGTGGATGAAAAGCTGGACATGAGCCAGCAATGTGCACTCGCAGCCTAAAATGCCAACTGCATCCTGGGCTGCACCCAAAGCAGCGTGGCCAGCAGGGCGAGGGAGGGGATTCTGCCCCTCTGCCCGGCTCTGGTGAGACCTCCCTGCTGTTCTGTGTCCAGCTCTGGAGTCCTCGGCACAGAAGAGACATGGACCTGTTGGTGCGCAGCCAGAGGAGGCCACAAAGATGCTCTGAGGGCTGGAACAGCTCTGCTGGGAGGACAGGCTGGGAGAGCTGGGGTTGTTCAGCCTGGAGAAGGCTCCAGGGAGACCTTATTGCAGCCTTTCAGGACTCGAAGGGGGCTTAGAAGAAAGATGGGGACAGACTTTTTAGCAGGGTCTGTTGCGATAGGACAAAGGGTAACAGTTTTACAACTAAAAGAGGGAAGATTTAGACTAGATAGAAGGAAGATATTTTTGACAATGAAGGTGGTGAACCACTGGCACAGGTTGCCCAGAGAGGTGGCAGATGCCCCATCCCTGGAAACATCCCAGGTCAGGTTGGACGGGGCTCTAAGCAACCTGACTGAGTTGAAGATGTCCCTGCTTATGGTGGGGAGTTGGACTAGATGACCTCTAAAGGTCCCTTCCAACACAAAGATTCTATGATAAGAAGTTTACCAATGAAGATGACAGAAAATTGAGCAACACTGGGGCAGCAGTTATATTCACAGAAACAGAGAAGAGTTGAGGCTGGAGGGGACCTCTGGAAATGATACAGTCAGCACACTCTCCAGCCCCTCAAAAGCAGGGTCAAGTAGAGGAAGCTCGGTTACTCTTCCACCCATCCAGATATTTTTTCAGCTTAGAACCTATGAAAAGCTGCACATTTTTTCCACCACAGTCATTTTTCTTGACTTCCTTTCTGGAGGTTAAAGAGTTCAAGAAGTAAGATATGTGAGGCTCCAGGACAAGGAAAAAAAAGCAGGGGTAGATAGGTAGTCATTCATATCAGCTTTGATCAACTGCTCTTTACTTCCTAAAGCTCATCAGAAAGACTTGTGGTGTTAGATGGGAGAAGGACGATGTGCTAGCCCATGTGAATCAGCAGGGTTCATTTAAAAGAACTGAACTAAATTCTGAACTAGAGACCGCAGCTTATCTATAGGGTTATTTGTTAGGCACTCGCATTTAGCTCACGAATACCTCTTTAGAAATCATGTCATATGGGTTCTCATTGAGAATGTGTCACATGACAGAAGAGGAATAAAACACACACTCAAATGCAGTGTTCCAGAAAGGTGTCCCAAGGCATGGGATCTCTCTGCAGGACCAAGGATCAATCTGTATCAAGATATTTCACCTCCTTCTTTTTCAAAGTGGACCTCAGTCCTCCAGCCAGCAATGAAACAGAGAAATCACGACAGAGAGCTATGAGAGAAGAAATTCTTAACTGCATGGCATGGAAACAACCTGAATATTAGAAGGGCTTAAAGCTGTTGAGATCTTATACAGCTGCAGTCCCAGAACTAAAAGAAAAATAGGAAGACAATACTACACAGCAAAGCTGCTTTTAAGAGCAGACACTTCCCAATCATAAAACATTTAAAACATCCATAAAAATAATAGCGCTTCCTGAAGCTAATGCAAAGATTATGGACAGCAGTGTCAAACACGGCAAGAACATTCAAGCTAGTGTCAAAAGCATTACTGTACCAGGCTATGGAAGACAGCAGATGGATCATGATATATAGCTTATATAGCTTATATAGCCAACCTGCAGCCAAAAAGAAGTCTTACAACAGGCAGATTTATTTTTGTCCTCTTACCCTTAGGAAAGGATTGTGGCAGCTAACTGTCCCTTCTCTGCTGCCCTCTTTCTTCAAGACACATCTATATTAGGGAGCACACGCAGAGGCTGGTGGATGGGCACAACACGCATATCTGATTATTACTGATAGGCCCCACTTGTGTGATGGAGGGGGGCCACATTAACACAACCCTTGTGGCCCACCTCATCAGTCCAGCACAGCACCTCCTGCCTTACACTGCTGGAGGAGGAAAAGACTGCACCTGGAGGCATCACGCTTCACAGATTAGACTCCCACAACAGAAGCTTTTCCATTTGGACTTAAACCTGATTTAAAAGACACTGATGCTTCAAGTCACCAGAAACTGCAGGAGCCAAGCCCTTTATAAGTCTTGATATATTTTCCCACCTACAGCAGAGGCTGAGCAAAAGGCTTTATCCAAAAGACTTTGGTGCCTCTCTACAAAGTTTCAGCAATATGGGTCCATCTTCAGTTAGCTCTCGTCTGACAGCCTGCCATGGCATTGCTGTGACCAGTACTTTACACAGCGGTAACAACATTCATGGCATCCTGGAAGGGCAGCAAACACTTGACTAAATTCTCTAAGTTAATTCTGTCTTCCAAATCACTAGAAAAGCAGGACATAACACAGCCAGTCTTCTGGGTCTCCACCAATGTAATTCTCTCAGATCCACTGCTAATGAACAGCGGAACATCTGACATGTGAAGACTAGTGAGATCATCTGTTTATCTGCTGCTGTCAAGTCCCACTGTAAACCCAACTTCCTAGAGCAAACTTCTTCCTCCTTTCTCTTTCTTAGGCCAGTAAGCTCCTAATAGATACATCTCTTGGGAGAGTTTAGCAGACATTCAAAATACTACATGAAGAACAGGAAAAGTAACTAGTGAGAAAGTTTATTCTTTTCTGAATATTATCACTGAAAGGAAGAAGAATGCTAAAAAAGCTTCTCTGAGTGGAGTATTAGTTTTGCTACCATGTCTCAAAACATCTAACCTCTAAAACTGAGCAAAGCATAGGAGACAAAATACATCTACCAGTTCAGGACTGAAGACAACCAAGGTATCAAGACATAGCATGGAAACACATAGCAACCGTTACTGAAAGGCAGCAACTTCACTTGCTATTTTAAGGACTTCTGTTTTTATAATGCTCTCCAAAAACAAGAAGTACCACTTTGTACAGTATCTGGAGTGATGTTTGACAATTTTTCAAATGTTAAAGAGTCACTATAAGAAGTTATTATTACTCAGAGAGATACCCAAGCAGATTTCAAATTAAGAATTGGACTCTTGTCACATTATTTCCTTCACTTAATAAAATTTTCCCCACTAGCATAATTAGGACTGCCGTGCTTATTAGAGCAAGGGAGTGTTTAATAGTAAAAAGTTATTTTTTTTTAATTTTAAAGCCCCCACACCCGCTCGGCTAATAACAGGTGCTGGGTCAGCTGGGAGGGGTTAACCACAATACAGCACTTTGGATTTTTTTTTTTTATTATTATGCATATGTTAATCTTGCAGGTAGGAAATGTCAATAAAACAAGGTAAAAGCATACGTATATTTTTCAGTAATATTTACCAGTCATGCTGCTGTCTCTGTTTATTCCATTATGAAGTTTACAGTGAACAAATGCTGCATCAAATAACCACGATCCAAAGAGGTTCAAGATGCTGTTAACCTTTGGCCTGCGAGGAGCTGGTAGTGGCCGTGGCTCACAACTTGTCTGGTTTGGGCTAGAGAGTGGAGAAGTAGAGGAGGGTTGATGCTGCACTTTTGAAGTATGTGCAGTAGTTACCTATTTGAACAGAAGAACAAATTAACTCCTAGAAGCAAGGGAATTACTTCCTCTAACTGAGGAAACTATCTAAAGGGTCAGCTACTTAAATACAGAATATGAAATCTTACAGTGCTGGTTTTCATTGTTGCTTTATTCACAGTCACTGCCCGATGCCTTCGGTTATGGGGTGGAGTGGTGTTGATAGCAGTGTTCTGGGGCATGCTCAGCCTATTTACTGGCGTGGGTGGTGCGCTATCTGACCGGGGTCGTGAAATGCCTGTAGATCAAGAAATAAAACAAGCTTTCAGCAAGAATTCTGCAGGCTCATACACAGCAGCCCAGTGAGTAAGCATATGGGCCTTCTGTAAATAGACCAGCTTTCCTCCCTGCCCCCCAAAACAGAGTGGGAAAAACATCTTTCCTCTCTTACTATTAGCAGCAATAAATGCACAAGCAAAAGAAAACCCTGCTTGCATTAGCTAAGCAAATAATTAAAAAACACCAAAGAATCCCACACCTTAAGAACGTGGGAAATGGCACACGGGAGGACCAGTTCTAGGAGCAGGCAGAGGGAAAGGAGCAAGGTTCATTTGCCAAAGCCCATTTAACAGCTCACTTCTGCCAAAATTCAGATGCCTCTCACCTTTGGCTTGCTTTCCCAACCGTAACTCCCACACCCCGTTCCAAGACACTACAATGTCTGGCCCTTCAAAGACAACTCAGCTCACTAAATTAAGATGAAACCCATCCACCATGCAGTTCTCTACTGTTTTTGAGAGCTGAATCAGCTTGCTGAACAGTCAAATACTAAGTCAGTACAAGAGATGGGGCAAGAAAGCAGAGCGAGCTATCATTTTTCTGGCAGCAGCAGGACAATAGATCAGTCTTTACCCAGCCTCAGGGAAATACTCGTAGTGTATAAAGCTATTCTTCCCAGTTAGAATCAGAAGCAACCAGCCCTCTGCAAAACTTAGGGTGACAAACACCACTACTTCCCATCACACTTAATGAATATCACCACCCTCACACCCCATTTGAAAAATCAAGTGTGGAACTGCTGTGTGCTTGAAGATTTGACACAGATTTTTTTTTTTTTACCATGTTAATTAATGCACACAAGTACTTTTCATATCACGTTACAGAACAACTAACTCCTGCTAAACCATTAGTGTTACACCCCATGCAGAGTATGCACTATGAAATGTTTTGTTTGGGCATGATTTTTTGGAAAAGAGGATGTGGTATTTTGATGAACACACACATCATGCAAGTACATATTAGGGAGGAAGAGCTAAAAACCATGTGCTTCAGCACTTGGGGTAGACGGCAATGAGAACTCCCATTAGCCTTAGCTAAAGGGGTCCGTACTGCAGCTCTCAAGTCTGCCTGAGCACTCTCTCACATCCACACCTACAGCCGGAATTTAATTTCACCAAGAGCTCTCCTGTGCTCAAGTACATCACAGACTGCAGTCTGTTGTGGAACGCCCGGTGGGCTGTCATCACCCCAGGTGTTTCAGCTCGCTACATGAGATCTTCAGAGGTCTGAAGTCTCTGATTCAACATCCCATCAAAAGCTCATGTAGACAGCAAAGCTCCTGGCATGCTTACGGGAGAGCCCGGGCTGCCAGGGGCCCACGGCCATGCTCCACAGCTCGCCAGTGCGGAAGACCTCAACCCCAGTTACCATCACACCCCCCACCACCGCACCCAGACAAGGAGCTGTATACGTGATCCCTGTTGCCCCAGTGGGAACGAAGTCTCAGGTAGCCAGATGCAGACCACAAAAAGGACTACCACACTGTTAGTGGGTCTCAGATAAGAACCCCAGACTATTTCTAAGGTCCCAGAGGAATTCACCACACCAGCCATCCCAGCAGAGGCGCATGCACTGTGCAAAGCTAAGAGCTGCCCAGCTTCTTCCTCTGTCTCCACTGCAAGATGCCCCCCTCACAAGTCTTACATTACAAATTATTTTATTCCCTGAAAATTAATTACTAACCACACTTTACAAAAAACCTTGGATGTAGTATTTTTTTCCCCTCAATGCACATTTAATAGCTTTTTTAAAAAAAAAATTAATTCAGCTCACACAGCCAGTAAAATACACTTCAGAGGAACACCTACCAACGCTCAGTTGGACTTTTCTTTTTTTTTTAATTATTGTTTCAGTGTAGACTGCCAAATCCTATTAACACAGGTAGGAAGATAGATTTTGACAGAGTAAGGAGGAGGTTGTTTTCACTAGGTTAGGTCATATATTGCCTATATCTAATCCTCCTTTAACAAATTATATTATTTGACAGACTACTGAATATTTTAAATCTCACACCTGGTATTAGTAAAAAGCAATCATTACAATTCCTTGAAATTGGTGGCAAGACATCTGGAAGAACAGAGTGGACACAACAGGTTTCAAGATTCAATATCATAGCTCAAGAAAAATGACCATTTGCATCACTTCGTAACTTTTTCAACAAAGCTTTTTTCTACAAAAGTGAAATCCAAACTGACAAAAACTTGTTTGCAGTGGGGAATACTGTACCAATAAATCTTTTCCTTGTAACAATGTTACAGAAACACAGACTGTATTTCTAATAAAAAGGACCTTATAATTCAGTGAGACAGAGGGATCTTAAGGTGTTTTGCTTAAAAAGACTAAACCATTGAGGTTTTTCCAAAAGACAAACCACATGTAAAAAGCTGATGGTCTAATTCTACAGACAATTTTTTTCTGAACACAGTTTACTTATCTGCTCAAGTATTCTGCAGTCTCACATCAGCTCACACTTCTGGCAGATTACAACATTTGCTTGCATGCATTTAAGCAAAAAAGCAGCAGGAGACAGGCAGCTCTTCAAAGTTTACAATAGCACATTATCTCTGAAGAATTTTTAATAAGCCTGAAGCATACTAAGAATAATGCCTTAGATTTCAGGTGCTATATATAGTGTTACCTAAAACTTACCAGGCAGTGCTTACCTTACCTTTCAGTCAAATTTGAGCTACTCCGTTACCAGCAGACACAAAGAAACATAGCTTTTCTTCTCAGCAGTACCAGTCACCCACTAATCCTAAACTAAGTGAAACTGGCACTTCTAGTATAAAGGTCTGAAGGTGACAGCCAAAATTCAATACCCTATAAAACCAGGCACTGCACACAGCTCTTGCACGAAGTTTATAAACAAAGTGGTCAGTGCTCACACGTGCTAAAAGCATAACACTTGCATTCTTGATTAGACAAAAAAAAAAAAAAGCAGCCTTGTTTGGGGAAGAGATGGCTATTTTAGACTTCAGATTTGTTTTGCATTTGAAACTAAGGCCATCTACAAGTTCATGCATTCAAATACTATTATTGTGTATACAGATGGTTATTTAAAAGTGACCTGAGGTCCCTTCCCTATCAATTACAGGATACACTTGCAAATGATAAATTGTTATGGCTGTATTTATGGAGAAGACGGATTTAAACAGAATAAAATAACTATTAAGTTACTATCCCTAGTTATCCACAGGTAAGACAAAAGCATTACCTAGGAATGCATCCACTAAACAGCTGATCCCACGCATGGCACGAAAGAATATTTGAGGCAGATGTTTAAGGCAGGGGTACTGATTCAGTTCTTGAGTCATACCACTCACATTCAGAAACTGCTCCTGAAATTTGGGAGTAGAGCTAATAATGGCTGGGTTACTCAAATCCACAGGATTACTGCACACAAAGAGAGCAAAATATACTTTAATCAGATTAAGAACAGCTGTTGGGATTTTAAAAATACTCGATGCAATAGTTTAAGGCATTTATATAACAACAACACAAAACAGCATCCAATATCAATTTATTTTTAGCTGTTACTCCATCAGAGGAAGTCAGTTTTCACTTCCTAGTTGTCCTTATTTCAAACATTACCCAAACACACTGAATAATTTTATTAAGATCCAATGAACCACAGCATACACTTGATAGAATAATCTCACTGTTGCAGTAATATTAATTACTTATGAAGTTCTTTTGAACTCAATTTAAGAGGTCCTTACATTGTTAAAATTCTCAAATTTTACTCAAAACGTAAGCAATGAATAAAATATTGCCAGCAACCAGTGACAAGAAAGGGAGTGATAAAAAGGTTGATAAAAGATAGAGCATTTTTTCCTGACTGATCCAAATCCAGTAACAGCAATTCCAGATTTGAAGAGTACCGTACTTGTGACATTACCATCACAAATGAAGAAAAAGAACAGTTTTTTGTAGTTAGTTAAGAAGTAGATTTTGAACAGTCTAATGTTTATCTAGTTTTAATTAGTCCATAATGTTTATATAAACAGGTTATTATTCTGGCCATTCAGAAGATTAATGCCACGGCATTCCCAAGAATCTTTAAAACTAAGCATGCCACATGGTTCTGTTATGTATTTAAGAACAGTAACATGGATGTTACAATTAACTGTATAGCTTTCTTCATAGAAAGAGAGAGATACACCCATTTTAAAAATAATCTTTTGTAGGTTAAATTTAACACCCTGAAGAATGAATGGAAGCAGCATACATCTGTCTGAGCTATTGTTCTGCTTTTCCTGTTTGCTCTCTCAGAGAAATAAAACTGTTTTGAAGTCTTGTTTTTCGTATCTTCCAAAATGCCAAATAGCTAAAAATTTTTTAATTAAATAAACCAGTTTACATTCTGAAAGAGCCAAAGAGTACAAAATTGAACAACCCACTTACAACTTTGCCCTGGACTGCTGCAGGGCACTGGTACAACAAATCTCTCGCGCTTTACTCTATTTAGGTGCTTAACCTTAGCAATCTCCAGAGAAATTTTTCATGTGTCATGCAAATTCATAGAAATTATGCAAGAATATAAACCACAGATGGCTGTAATCACAATACCTCAGCATATGTAAAAAGCGAAACCAAGTTTGTGCAATGCACTCATTATCCATTTCAGGAGGAATCAGACCAGCGTCTTCATCAGGAATTTTAAATGGTGGAAATGAAGGTCCATATGTAAAACGCAGCAATCTAGAAAGCAAGTCAGACAGATCTGTCATTCAGTTAACACTCCTCAAAAATTTAACAGTGCATTTGAGCCTCAAGGATATCAGTAGTGCACAAGTAAGCCCACAAGCAACAACACAACATCCTAAGTTTTCCTAGAGATCCCTATTTTATACAATCAGTTTAGCCCTCTTAAAGCTTTGAAGGGTACATGCCTTGGAGCCTGCCTGAAGGTCCAACCAAATCAAAGAGCTGTTAAGGCATAACACCCCATAGCAGCTCTGTTTAGCCAAGGGGACTACCAATTAACACAGGCACATACATAACTGACAAGATCTTAGAAAAGAAGGGGCGGGGGAAGAAGGAATTTAAGCCCTTATCCTCAAGGCTCTTTAGCTTAAGTGTCCAATGACACCAACAAGTCACATTAGGTTACAGGTCTAAATTCCAAGTTACTGATGACTTACGATTTACACCAGCACACTGAGCAACACTTGATGCCATCCTACAACCAGCACAGTATTTGCAGTCCACAGAGTAGCAAGCTCTTCAAAAAAGGTGCACTATGTTTTACAGAAGCTGGGAGTTGCAGAACAGCAAAGAACAAACCCACAGAGGGCTTTACAGCAATGCGATATATGAGAATAATGGCTTAGATAAATTGAGATCTCTCTCTAGAAGTGCTATAACTACCTGATGAATCACTAACAAGCTTCAAGAGCTACTGCCGTCTGATTTGACCCCTGCTTCATCCCCAGCTTTGTAAACCTACAGATTACTTTCCCTGATCAACATAACCTTGGTGTTCTCTAAAAGGATGGAAGAGATCCAAGTTGCACCTTCTCAATATCCTAGCATTCCCAGAAATCAGGTTTTGTCCTCCCCTAACGTAAACTCACTTTTAGCACCATTTCTTGCTTCAGTTACCGTGCCCTTATTTCTAAGCTAAGAGATGCTGGTAATGGGACAAGAAATGTCCCATTCATCATTGCCCACTTAGAAGGGCATCTAGTCTAAGAGAGATAAAATCATGCCACAGTAGGCATGAGGAATTATCCAGCTCTCACAAACCCAGAAGAGCCTGGGCATACCCCATGAAAAGTCATGCCCAACATCTCTGTTCTACAGCACACTGCACTACTTCATAATTCTCCCCTTATGAGATGCAAGAAATCAGTTTTTCAAGGATTATGGACAAATCGTAACTGAAGTTTGGGACAGTTTCAAGAATGACTGAAAACAGAAATAAATTGTAATCCACACATCCAAGACAGTTGGACTTAAAGCACCCTAGATAGGTAAAAGAAGTATCTATCTGTATGGCAACACAAGTAAGACCCTAGTTCCACCCTGCTATGAAGTCATAGCCATATTTAAAGATTAACACTGCATATGTGTACAGATTTCCAAATATAACTTTCCATATGGTTTTAAGCTGAGAGTAAACATCTCAACTTATTGCTAATAACCCAATTCAAAAAACTGTTTACTAAAACAACACTTCAACAAAGCTCCATCTTCAAACGGTTTAAGTATTAAAAGTGCAACTTAAAACATGGCTGAACTTGAAGTTAGCATCAGAGGAGTTCAGCTTGCTATGTATTAGGCGTAAACCAACGTTACTGAACAGCACACTAAAACATTACAGAAAACCTGCAGATTACTATGCATCAACAGAACTAGGACTGTTAGTCAACAGTGGAAGATAAAGTGTGGGCATAGTGCATGGAGCAGAACACCAACGCATGTTTTGAGGCAGAGCTGTTCTTTTCAGATCAGTGAATCATAAAACATTTTGTTACACAACGCTACATCTAATGAGCTAAAAATAGCTAAAGGAAGTGTGGGAAATACACAGAACTTGCATTGCAGCTTTATTTCCTACAGGTTTAACAAGTAGCTGCATAACCTGGAAAAATTTATCCACACTTGGAATTTTGACAGGTAATTCAAAAGCAAAAGTTTTCAGAGTTAAAATAAGCCCTGCAGAAAAGCATACCATTGAATTTTTCCACAGTGCAGCAATTTTAATACAGCTTTGAACTTTCACAGAAATGGTTATTGAGGTCTCAAGAGAGCTGGGAGGAGACTCAGACTCCTGCTCCTCACCCATTAATTTAGTTCTTTCCTCCAAGAGGCTGAGATTTGTCCTGCAAGGACTTCATACCACAAAGACCTCAGTATTGAGGGTACTGAGACTCCCCTCACTGTTCAGGGCCTTCTACGACAGCCTGACCCCTCCTGCAGCCCACAGATCCCCCCCGTTCCCATGCCCAGCAAGGCTTGGTACAGCTCTCCTCTGATACTCTCGGGAGAAGAGCGCCACTGCTCAGAGGAGAGCCTGCAGCCTGCCTCTAGTCCATCGCAGCCCTAGTGCCAGGGCACAAGCACCAGGCAGCTACAACATGGCTTCAGCAACGCAGGGCAGGAGAGGGGGAGTCCAAGAGTCACCTCAAACACAGCAACATGCAATAGTAACAAGCACCTAATAATTTTGGTGGCAACTGCCATTAAACATACAACTATAATGCTACACTATCCATGACTCATTCTTTGCAGGACACGATGAAGAGTCACGGTGATGGAGACTAATATACACACACTATATAGTGCTAAATACCAGAGAGATGCTGAGATTACACAATGACAGAGACGATCCAATTCAGATCTTCACTTGCAGAACAAAGACACACACACACAAACAGTAAAAGCCAAGGATACTAGCAAGATCTCTCGTTTTGTTTCACTCGTTCACTTTTGGATCTCTGTGTATTCCACAAATAAGCAACTCCAGAGAAAACCATGTATAACCATGATCATCCCCATACATGTGTGTTTATTTCCATGGGATTTCTCCTACCTGGAAGTAAGGGCACAGATGACCTTGCTCCACTGCTCAACTACCGCAGGGTGATGTCGCCAGTTGGCCACCATCTCTTTGGCAGTTTTCCAGTAAGGTGGTGTTGGAAAGCACCGCGTACAAGCTAGTAACCACACCTCAAACAGCACACCAATTAATTTTTCAGCCAGATTCTCAGCAATGCCACCTTATAACAGAAACAAAGCAATGCCTTTAGTGAGTATTCAGTCTAAGTAACTTCAAGTATCTCCCCAAGGAGATTTCAGTTTAAGTGCATACAGATTCTTACGTCAATCTTTTTCATCATTTTTTGTTTAAGAGTGATTCCTGATTGCTTCCTACACACCAATTAGCCTTTTTACAAGACCAAACATATCATAGAAAGCCCAGCCACATGCACACATCACTAAGGGGCAGTAGGAATTCACTGATCTTAGGCTGTCTTCTATTGCACTCTATCTATATTGATGCCTTCATTTATTTTCTTTTTAATAGGTATAAACTGAGAATACTATTTTCCAGTAGGCAGGCCAAACAGCAAAACACACAGAGGTTTCAGTGAAATAAAAAGGGAACAACGTTGTCTGAAACCTTTCACCATGAACTGTTCCTGTACAGAGTCACTGTTCTGCAAAAATACATTTAGGATAACTCGGCTCCAAACCATTCAGTCTTTTCTGACAATGCTTTATTTCAGAGTAGTGCAGCACAATTAGGAGTGAGCTATTGTGCTTTTGTGGCTACTACTAGCTTTTAATAGCTTTCCCCCAATTCCCCTGGAAGCTCAACATCAAGCAGGGCCAAAGGTTTTTCCAGTAATTGAATCGAATGGAAGTTGAACATGAACCTTGCACAGTTGGAGCTGCTAGAAGAGTGTCATTGATCTGAAGAAGAAATAATAACAAAACCTCCCAGGTTTCTCTTGCCATAATTGTTGATTCACGAGCCAGTTTCTGGACAGCTTTCAAAACCTGCAAGCACAATCTAATCTGACTAGATCCTGGGTCTGGCCTGCAAGAGAAGAAAACAATACTTGAATCTCTAAACAAGAACTATGAAGTGATATGTACAATAATTTGAACAATTACAAGAGGAAACCTCAATATTATTGAACAAGAACCAAGAACATGAGCTAATATGTTTCTATGCACCCTAACTCTGCCTCCAAGAATCCTAACTCTGCCTTAGTGAGTACAAGATGTACCGTAACGTTCTTCTCTATATGACACAGAACCCACCACCATAGAGCGAACACTAACTGGAGCAAGAACAACCCATTATCCCAAAGGAATTTATCTTACACCAAACCATGAGAATGTAGTTGAGACATCACTAATTGTTACATTTGTAATTCGGAAGGAAAGTGGCAAAATTAGGAGAAAATATTGTTAGCAAACTAATTTAAATCCTTCCTGGTTCTCTTCCTGCTTCCAAATGTAGATCCAACTCTTACCCCCAATTCCTTGGATGGGGGGGTGGGGGGGCAGTGTGTGTGGAATCTAGAAGAGTGTCATTAAATAGGAAAATCAGACTAAAGGAAGAAGGGATAAGTAAGGAAGAAAGGGAACAAGTTGATATTATCAAGGTTTTCCCTATAGGAACAACCAGTTCCACAGTGTCACTGCTGAGTCACTCCACATGAAGTGCTGCAGAAGCAGCACAAAGCACCATGCTCTCTTCCCATCAGTTAAGTTTGGACAAGACAGAACAGGTACAAAATAGTAATGTGAAATGTTCTGGACAGTATCTGAGGACACTGGTAAACAAAGCTGAGGAAGCCTAAAAGTTTAAAGGGTGAAAGAAGAGATTACAAATTACAGCACGCAATATATGCAAGCCATATTTCAATTTGTAAGCAGTTTCCTCATCCCTCCTACCACTTACTGAAGGGGTGACAAAAAAAATCGTAAAAATACTACCTTCCACTGGACTACTAAGTAGTATTACCAGATTCCTACCAAACACTTTCATTGTGGTATAACCCACAAGTCATGTTGCATGGTAAGCATCCGGGAACATGCTGATCCACTAGATAGAGATCTGCTTTTCTTAGAGAATAGTAGCTCACATTGAAGTCAATTACCAACAGACACACTTTAAAAATACTATCAACTCTTATCTTGATAGAATAAACATTGTATTACAGTACTGGAAACAACGTTACAAAGAGACAAGATAATCATGCAGACTACTAGTCACAGCTCATGACTTCAGTCAGTTGCTTTGATGCAAGTGTTAGATACTAACAGATAGTCTCTGTAGAACAACAAAGCTTGGGACAAGCAAGCCCTGCCTTGGTTGTAGCTCTATTTTTTCCCTGAGCAACAACAGAGCAGATACTTTAATCAAAAGATATCCTTAATCTTGATAGGCTTGAAGTTTCAAAGCCTATTTCAAGACTTGTTTCCCTAATAATTTAGGGCATCTATAAAAAGGGAGCTTACATGTAGGAGCTCCATTTGCAAGGTGACTAATGGCATACTTGAGCTAATCTGGTGAAGGTAACTCTGAAGTCCCCATCCATTTACCAGTTTCCCTTGTCCACAAAGTCAACTGAATGGCAAACTTTGGTTGCAGCATTTTGCAGACTCATTGTCTTTGCAACAAGAATTGTTCTCATGATTTCATATGAGAAACAGAAGTTATTACAAAAAAGCATCTATTACACTTGGTCTATCACATGTTCCATGGTGTCTCAAGCAATTCCAGACATTTCAGTTGCACGGAAGACCCTGGTATCTACACCTCAATCTCCTGGGGAGGAGAGGCAAGGAGAGAGAGTTCTCGTATTTTCTTTCTATGCTTGCAACAAGAGTTTGCAGCACTGAAACTTTATCTGATGGCAGTAACTACCACTGCTACTTAAGTAATCTGCAAGGCTTTCTGAATATCGTAGGGTTGCTAGAGATGGAAAGCCTGGGGGTTGCCTGGGGACTGCTCAAATATGTAAAGAAAAGAGGTGTTCATTTCATCAGGGTGGACAGAAGGTCAGTGCTGGAGGGAAGGATGTAAGCATGCTCTCACTAGTAAGTCTAGCAGTCAGGAAAGGCAACTTGACTCACCCATCTTTCACTGTTCTTATTTTTCAGCACCACACCATTTCAAGGACTGTGCATATAAACATTTGATTCAGCTGAGCACTCAAACTAGAATGATTTATACGCACCTACTTCATGTTTGGTGTATACATGTTCCTGAGATGCTATTTAAGTCAAACTGCTCACTTAAGGCTGCTGCATTTCACACTTCAACTATACATCCTCCTCAGGGTCTGAAACCCTCACCACAACTCTGGGCCACCACTTTTAAGGCAGCCAAACCAAGAGCTACATCGTTTCCAGGAAATCAGGATGAGGAAGGAAGCTATTTTAATCACAACCCTCTATAGAACATATGCTTATAATAAAGGCGTAGTATTTTCAACACAAGAACAGTAGATTTTTCCAGGAGATTCATCAATGCAGGTTGCTGCAAGAGCTCCTATTCTACAGGAGCCCATCAGCATCAGCAACCTGCATCAATTGGGTAAAATCAGAAATTATTCTCCTTTTCCCCTCCACAGGCACATAAGAATATAAGCCTCTGCTTTCACTCAAGCAAGGTATGTACAACTTCAGTTTTGCATTAATTTCCATTATAGAATGTCCTCCTGTTGCTGGGGATAGAATGTCCTCCTTGCTGGGCTGAATTCTGAACACAGCTTCCTGGAGGACAAAACTTGAACTTTAAGTTCTTTTTCTTGAAAACAGAGTAGGGACTTGAACATCAAATGTTTACAGCAGCAGCCATGAAAAAACAGTGTTGCAGATACATCTCAGAGGCTTTTGAAAGAAAACAATACAAGAGTTATACTAGGGGGAGGAGGGAAGTATTTAAAATAATGATTTTCCAGTCTTCCCTGTCTCTGGATGTTAATTATTTCATTCAACAGCCATCACATGCAGTCTACCACCCTGCACTAAGCTCCATCAATGAACTTGGGAGAGAAGGGTGGAATGGCAGCCTGTGCCAACAGCACAAGAAACAGGACTACTGAGCTGCCTGCTGCCAGGGCCCCTGATGTGAAAGCAGTCAAGGAATCATAGCAAGAACTATTTAATGGACTAGTGAAGAATTCATTCTATACTGTGCCAAGGGGATAAAGGTTCCCAGACAGTAGACTCAATTCTGCATTTGTTAAAGCTTAAAGACAGCCTTCTGCAGAGGTCTGATCCAGAAGCATGCTTTCCTCAGATTTGTGCCGGTGCCCTGACCATCCTTCAGTGCCTTTTACACTACAAGTTAAGAGCAATGACAACTAAGGCTAGGTGGTATACTTTGAAGCAATCAATAAATAGCAACAAACTCCTCATCTGAATTTGTACGAGTTATTATTCAAAGTCCTTTATTAACAAAGCTTTCAGGTAAAGTTAAGTGATCCAGGTGCAGCAGAGCACTTTTGAAGGCCACTTACATTATTAATACTGATGATCTGGTACTTACAGACATATACTGAACATTGAAATAATTTCACATAGCTAATATTTAAGTACTGTTTCACAGGGCACCGTTAAATAATCTCTTACTTATCCAACACTTGTTCAACAGCAGCATGTAGATTTGTCATAAACTACAAACAAAGCATGATGTTTGAGCACTCTGACAATATAACTTTGTCCAAGACCTAGAAGCATGCGTATCTCAACATCATCATCCAAGTATGTCTCGAGTAACACCAGACTGTCCAAGCACTCCTCCACAGGATTCTTTTGAAACTACCAGCAAGAGACAGTCAGCATAATTATGCCCATTTAATAGGCAGCAAGATGCAGGCGCAAAGCAGCCACGTTGTGGTGCTGTGCAAGATCCTCCAACACATCAGAAGTGGTTAAGTCTTGAGTAAACAAAGCATGGGATTGCCATGATGTGCTCGTAGTTATTTCAGTCTTACACAATACCAAGCACATGGTCACACAGTGATGCTATTTAACCTTTCCCCACTGTCCTCCAGTCGTCTAATAGAGAAGGTTCTTGAAGTTCTTAGAACAGTAACTATTCAAGTCTATGAATGATCTGTATTTTTCAATTAGCTAAACACAGCAGCAACAACTCAATTTGCTACTTAAAATTACAAAACAGCTTTGGAGAGACACCCTCCTCCTAACTTTGCAATGACAGCAGTCTTATTTTAATCAAGAGCATCTATGGCTCATCAGGTCTCTTTGACAGTTTACCTGCTGATTAGTTTCAAATTCCTGAGCCTCCTGAGTGTCCCAGCCTTAACACTCACCTCGGTACAAAGAGATTTTGGAGATGTTTCAGAATGCTTTGAACATAAAGGTTTGGTTCCTTAATAACCGGTAAAGGGATGGAATCCTTAGGTAATACAAGAGCCATAATCCAATCTGTATATACGTCCACACAGTATTTCACAGTATCGCCATCCAGAGGTAGGGTCAGTCCATAACAAACCACCTCCATAGTCCATTTTACCTAACCAAACACAAAACAAAAGTTATTAAAAATAAATATTAGCAAGTATACAATGGTCAGAGCACATTGGTTCTAACTCAAGAAAATAACAGTAGTTAGGTGGTATGGGCAATTCTATTTAACATACACTGCATGAAAACATCAAGTCATGACATTACGAAGATTATGAATAAATGGCAAATCACTAAATCCTGAATCTGTTTAGTCTAATCTGTAGAAAGAACTCTTCAGAATACGAGAGCTGATGTAACGGAAGATTTTCAAATTGTAGTAAATATTTGTACAATATAAAGACTTTTTTAAAATGTCACACACTGTTGCTTCAAAAATGAAGGTAATTAGAAAGACTCTATGAGTTACCTGCTAAATACCTTGGTTGGTTTTTGGTTTGGGTTTTGGTTTTGGGGTGGTTTTTTTTTTTTTTGCTTTAGCTTGAACTTCCTGGTACAGTAGCTCACATAAATGCTTACTACTAGGTCATGAATTACACTGTTGCTATGATCTAGCTGTTAATAGAAGCCTTATGTAGATAACGAACCTAAAAATATAGCATACTTCATAAAACTTGGACTATTAAAGAGAGAAAAATAAAAGACACTATAGAAAATAATTAAGTTGCCACTCTAGCATGAAGGAAACTATGTTCTCTGAAGAAATGCACTTACTTCTTTGTCTGTTTTTAGTAAACTCTCACTTCCAACGGATGATGTAATTAAAGCTTGTCCAAGAGGACGCACCACTGCATTTGCCACTTCTCTCCCCACGTTTTCAGGATAGCTGTGAAGTACACTGGTATTACCCTGATCATTTTGAATGACAAGATGCAAGGATCTCCACTCTGAGTACATAGTGCCTCTATGCTACAATCCAAATAACACCTGTGGAGCAAGGAAGAAAAAAAAGGCATAACTAGTAGAAATGTGTATGGCACAAGTTACCAAAACTGAGGCTGTTTGCCATGACACAGACCCTTGTCAATTCAAGATGCACATGTCAGTGTCATACATTTGAAGACCTGAAAGAGATTCCAACAGCTGTTTTTCAACCTTAATAGTTTTGGGTTTTTTTAATATAGCTGTGAGCTTTTTTTTTTCCCCTCTAAAAAGATTACAGTAAGTTTCAGTTAAGGACTAGCAGCCCATTTGAGACACTTAAACTTGAGAAGTGACTTCATGTCACACAACTTCGGCTTGCGCCATCCTTGCAAGAAAGATGCTCTTAACTTACATGATATCTTTGGCTAAATAGAGAATAGTTCTACAAGTATTTTGTTCGTATAAGCAATGGCTCCAATTCATACCTTGTTCCCTTTTTCAGCTCAACAGTAGTTAAAAATAGATACCAGGAAACTTTCAGGAAAATCTTAGTCATCTCAGAAGACTAAAATTCAGCCTCTTTTTACATTCATAAAGTATTTCTCCTACAGCATGCATTACTCAAAACTGGTAGTTGAAAAATTTGGTTGACTGACGATGAAGAGTACACTTTATCTGAAGTGATTTCAGGACTGACTGAGCCTTGGTGGATCACTAACTTAAACCCATTATCATTTTATGGCTTCATTATAACATCGCATACTGGTATCAAACCCAAGGCATTAGAGTGTGCCCTAATGCATTTCAAATCCTTGTAAAGTCAATGCACACACAGAGTCACTCCCTGATGTAGATTTATCCATCTTTTTTATTTATTTCTTTTATAGAAAAGCCACTAGAAAGTTTCCCAGGTAGCACTCTCGGAACTAGACGGAAGAAACAGAGTTCTCCTTTCAACAACGCTCCCAGCACAGCCGCAGTTGTGCGCCTTCCCTTACGGCAGACTGAGCCAGCTCAGGGAGCCAAGCTGACGGTGAGCCAAGCAGGCTTT